GCCGGGTCTAAAATACATCGTCGACGCAAATAGGAGATATTTACTAACAAAAGAAAAAAACGAATAGAAAAAGAAGAATAATGATGGGTTTGTCTGTGTACACTGCTAGCTAGATCGTGCGTGCCTGTGAGATCAACCAAATGTTTATGATCCTGATTCACGATACTGTGTGTGGGTGTTCAATGTGTGCTTCGTGGCTGTGTAGTTGCTGATTTCTTGTGTGTAAGGAAGAGGATAGTACACGAAGTAAGAGGCAGGACAAAACGACGCGGCATACGTCCGTCTGCCTGATTTGATCTGAGAGTGGTGCTGCAGGCATTTCGTCTGGTACAATTTCCCTGCTAACAGCTCGTGTTGCAATCTAGAACTGAACTCCTTCACCCTTGCTCGAAAATCCCACGGGGGGGGGGGAAACGGCATCGTGGATTTGTATTAAATTATAAATATTTATTATTCGATTGTTTATTATTTATTTTTTAAATAATTACAGGAATATTACGTAAATTAATATTTCAATCTATTTTGCCCAAAAAGTAAGACAACAAAGGAAAACTCTAGGACTTTTGGGAAAGTCTTGGGCTCTCATATCCCCCCCCCCTGGAACTGCCACTGGAGGGACATCGGCAATACTGCCTTTGAGTTAACGCAGCTGGCCATTGTATGACGAGACGATCTTAGGAACAGGCTGAGGTGGGCGTGCCTTGTCAGACTCGATTCGAAGAGATGTGGGTTTGAATCTCGTCTCTGACATGAATGTTTGTTTTTGTCTTGGAATGGTGCTCTTCCAACCGCTATGTATCAACTCAACACTCTTCTTCCTATGACTGGCGACCTGGGAGGCGAAGGGAATCGCAGAATTTGCGCGAAATTAGGTGTTGTAACTGAACTGTGACTGACACGTGAACTGGACACGTAAGGCATGTTGTATATTTGGGCAAGATGTGCATTCCTTGCGCACGATATATCACTCTTGAATCAAAATCTGCATTCCGTGTCTCTATTATTGTGACCACCAGTAAACTTTCATTGTATTTTGTTTTTCTCTTCTTTAAGGTAACAATTATAAGTATCTCAATTGATGTTTTTCTCTTGTAGCAACTCTTTCGTGAATATGTTACACCATTTTTCCAGTGCTTATGCACTATGAACGTCAAGTGCTAATGAGCCACATAGGCTCAATGGATGAGGAGAGAGATAGGTTCCACAGTGGTCGATCAGGACTATCAAGTCCCAAATGGGAGACGGTACGCCATTAGGCATTGGGAGACGACAAACAGGAACATTCAATTGTATGACGACCATATTGTTTTAATCGTGCCGATACATGCGATATATTCCGAATATAAAAATTAGGTAAAAATGCGTTAGATAGAGGAATTCATACAATTATAATTGCGTTTGAACAATTGTGTTAATTGTGCCTATAAATGTGACCCTGCATAATGTGATCCTGTGTAATAGTTTTGATATGTATATGTTCAGTTCGATTGTTAAATTCAGATTGTCGAATTCTTTCCTTTAGACATATTACTAATTTTACAATTATATTTTATATAGCTATACGATAAATAAATAAAGAGCTCTGAGGATGATCGCTATGCGATCGAAACGATCAAAAGCTGAATAAAAAGTATTGATACCAGACAACATCTTTATTTATTTATCATAATAAAAAGGTATCTACCTCACCAGCGATCTAATTAATAGTTATACGAATTTAGAATTTTAAAAATATATCTAAATAATTCTAAAATTCTAGTTCTCCAAACTTTTTATAATTTTTGGGACCCTGGAACATACAAATGCGGTACCGGAGATTGATATCATGGAACGATTTATCCCTGGACGTATCAGTAGCATTCAGTAAAATGCAGCGGGGCAGAAAACCTTTTGGACAAACAAGAGAAAGAGTCTCCCGTGCCACTAATGGGCGCGACGAGGCTCGGCAGCTTTTTGCAAAACGCAGCCCAGTTGCGGCGACGCGCGCCCGCGGGGAGAGTGGCCACGCCCCCTTCGCGCCGGGCATCCCCCCACAAGGCCGTCGGCGCCCGCGCCCCCTCCGCTGACCCCCTTCCCGGGGGGGCTGCGTCTCACTCGACAATTACGATGATTGGCGCTGCCCATCCCCGACGCCCATTGTCGCCTCCCCCGCCACCTCCTCGGCGCCGTCGGCGGCGGCAGCGGCGGCGGCGGGCGCCGTGCTGCGGCTCCGCTAACCCGAATTCACCGCCTGACCTTGTTCGCTCTCCCGCGCCTATATAACCACATAGGCAAACACCGGCCGGAGCTCAGTT